AGGTATGTGTTCGCCGAGAGGTGTGTCCGCCGTGTTGGACGAGTCGGCGGACGGGTACGTCAAGTCGGACGCCGTGTGCTGTCTATTCATACAGCGAGCGAATGACGCGCGCAGAGTGTACGGGCGGGTGGTGTCGGCCCGCATGGGAATGGATGGTTACAAAACATCCGGCAAACTCTTCCCCTCCAGTGAGGCCCAGGAGGCGCTTATGATAGAGGCGTATAAATGTAAAAATATTGATCCCTTAAAACTGACATATTTCGAGGCACACGCCACCGGCACCAAGGTGATTCAGTCAAGGACCAAATTAATAATTATAATTTTCATATTTCAGAAAGAAATATGAAATTTTAGTGTTTTTGTATAAAATATCATACGCGGTCTAGATACTAATTTAATTAGATTGCTAATTTAAAAAATATTACGAATGAATGAGCCCGTGTTACAATACTCATTTGTATATTTGAGTATATTTTGATAATTTTTGTTTTTAAAAAAGTATTCATAGATTTAATTAAAAATTTTATCGATAAATGACTATTTTAACGAACTTGGTCATAAATAATCTTTTTACTCGTAATTTGCTCATAATTTAACTCAACAAGCTACTTTGTGTTATATTGTAATTAAATGTATTTTCTATGAGTAAATTGTTAAAAAAAATTTTATTGATAACATTTTTCATTGATTTAATGAATATGTTTCAAAAATCAAAATTATTAATATAAGATTATTTATACGGATTAGTTGCATAAAATAGGGTCATTCACAATTTGTTTTCATTAAGTTTATAGTTTAGAACCTAGCACATTAATAACCTATGTTCACTTTTCAATATTTGACTAAACTATGTACTGTACCCGGGATATATTGAATATTTGTGTCAAAATTCATATAAATAATTGTTTGCCAACAGGTCGGAGACATTGAGGAAATGAAAGCCATATATAGGGCTTATTGCGAAGCACCGGGACGTAGCCAACCGTTGCCCATCGGGTGCCTAAAGAGCTCAATGGGTCACTCGGAGGGGGCGTCAGGAGTGGCGGCGATCATCAAAGTGTTGATATCATATGAGAACGAATCCATTCCTCCGAATCTGAATCTTAAGAATCTGAAGCAAGAGTTAAAGCCATACTTTCCACCACTTCTACCAATCAATGAAACACTTCTCTATAAGCCGGGTATTTTAATTTCGAAACAAATATACTCTGTATAACTGTTTAGAAAAATTATTTCATAATTATGTTTAAAATATTTGTATATTTAAAAGCAAAAATGTATATAAGAAATACAATAATTCTGTAGGACTGGCCGGGATCAACAACTTTGGCATCGGTGGTGCCAACGCACACGTATTGGTTGAACCCAACTATAAGTTGCAAACCAGTGATGGCCTAAGAATTGCCGAAACTATGCCCAGAATTGTCAACATTTGCGGCAGAAATGAGGGTTCAGTCAAACATATCATGGATTTCATTGAGAATAACCCAAAGAAAATCACAAATGATTTTTTGGCTCTTTTAACACAAACTATGAAATACTGGTTTACATCAGCTATTAATTCATCAGGATTTCCATATAGAGGTTAGTTTATTATTGAAGCCTCTGAATATGAATATGAATATATACATATTTAAATTTATATTAATTTATTTGTACACTAATCTAGTGATATGAATGATATACTATTTATATTGAGTACACAATCATTGGTTTGAATTTTAGGATCGATTATAATAAAGAAAATTTCTGAAGAAAACAATGAAATTCAATACAATTATAAGAAACAGATTGCGGTTATGACTGAGAAAAGTGTGCGACAACTATGGCTACTATTCACCGGTTTGGGCGGACAATGGACTGCAATGGCTAAGGCTTTGATGCCAATCAAGATATTTGCCGATAAAGTGGAGGAATGCCATCAAATACTACAAGAGTTTGACATTCATTTGAAAGACATGTTGTTATCTGAAGACAGGGCAGAGATGTCGACAATGACTGCGAAGTGCTGTTCGACGGCTGCCTTAGAAATAGCTTTGTTTGAAGTGATGACAGCCATAAACATGACACCCGACGGCATAATTGGTCACTCGTTTGGTGAGATCGCCTGCGCCTACGCCGACGGGTGTCTGTCCACAAGGGATGCCATGATTATGGCGTATATGAGAGGACGTGGCGCTGAAAGTGATACCAATATACCAAACGGATTGATGGCAGCCGTGGGTCTGTCGGAGTCCGAGGCTCTCGACATATGTCCAAAAGAGGTGGACATCGCCTGCAATAATGGCAAACAAAGTGTTGTTGTTTCAGGTTTTGTTACATTTGACTATTCATTCAGTTTTACATTGATAGTTTTTGTGTGCAAAGTTTACAATTTCTATGTAATAATAGATCGCAAACTGTTTTAGATGTTAGGATCGTTTGCAGCGAAAGTTAACTTTTTTTAAATAAAAGTTTACATTATTTTAACTTTAGGTCCGATGAATGAAATGAAAGGCTTTATGAAATCATTGGAAGAGAAGTCCATTTTTGTGCGACAAATAGATAGCAATGGATTGCCGTTTCATTCGCGATATATGATTGCATGCAAACAGCCTATGATTGACAACATCGAAGAGTATGTGCCGAAACCTAAGCTCAGGTCTAAGAAATGGTTGTCCACTGCCATCAGACCTAATGACATTGGCAATGAAAGTTTGCGATACGCATCGGCCGAGTATTTCGCCCATAATCTGGTCAATAAAGTTAGGTTTTACGAGACACTCAAACAATTGCCATCCAATGCAGTGGTCCTCGAGTTAGGCCCGCATTCTCTGTTCAAACGGATTGTCACCGAAACGCTTCCCAACTCCACTCACATATCGCTTATGAAAAAGGACTCAAACCATACAAATATGGATCTCTTTGTGTCGGCTTTGGCCGCCATTTATGAGTTGGGATTCAATCTGTCGATCGACAGACTGTACGCACGGGTGGAGTGGCCGGTGGCTCGCAATACACAGTCCATCAGTTCACTCATCAAATGGGATCATAGCCTACAATATGATCGCAAAGTATACCCCAAAATGTATAACAGAGTGAACGCATCCGATATGAATGTGTGGATCAGTCCTCACGTCAAAGAAGACGCCTTTTATTACGACCACAGACTCGATGGGGACGTCCTATTCCCGGCCACAGGCTATCTACTGCTGGCGCACCGTATGCTTGCGGCCAGTGTTGGCAAAGTGTGGACTAAGACTGCGGTTGTGTTCGAAGACATTCACTTCAAAAGACCCGTATATTTGTCGCAAACAATGAAAACTGAAATCACTGTCAAATATAACTCGAAATCAGGTATACTATGAAAAAAGCAATGATTTTGTATAATATTTAGCTATTATTTCTACAAAACTATAGACAAGTTTATAATATTGGAAAACAGCAACGAATGCGTTGCCGGGAGAATGCGAGCACCGGGTGATGACAGTCGGGTGCTATCGCACCAGGATTACATGAAAAACATTGTCCAGCAATTTACTGAACCCATGGAGTACGGGCTGGAAAGGGATGACATTTACGTAGAGTTGAAGGTTTTGGGCTACGATTACGGCAAAGAATTTCAAGGATTGCGAAAAATAAAGACAAATCATTTTCACGACATTTACGGCACTAACGAATGGACCGGAAATTTAGTCACATTTTTGGACGCATTGATACAATCAACGAATCTGTGGGCGCCCACCCGACAGCTCCGGGTGCCGGTTATGATCAAACGTATGCGTTTAGACCCCCGGGAACTGTTCAAAGCAATCACAGCGTCTGAGTTGGCAATGAATGGGAGGAAAGGGATGGAAGAAACTATGCCTAAATTGGACGTCAATTATGTCTCTAATAATGAAATCGAAGATAATTTGGACGATATTTCGGTTGACATTCCCTTCTATTATAACGAAAAATGCAAACATTTGGTGACATTTGGTGTGGAGATCGAGGGATTGGTAACTCACACGAGATCTCGAAAAAGCGATTCATTAGAGTTGACGTTAGATTCCTATGAATTCTGTGCCAATGATTGTATGGTAGCTATCGATGAAAACCATACAAAGTCTTTAAATGAATACCTAAATGTAATTAACTTTTATGATTATATTTTTGTTAAATTTATTTTAATTGATTGTTTTAATGATTAGGTTTGCAAGTATATGGCCATGGCCATTCAAACATTGGGATCAATACGAATGAAATGCAATTTCAAATGCGATCCAATAAATGGCGATATAATCAACAAATATCGAGAAACAAGTTATAAAAATCACGTAATGTTTGGTATTTTCAATGAAATGTTTGCAAATCAATCGCAACAGAAACACAATGAAAATATTGGAAAGGATATGAACCAGGGTACATTTCACACGCATGCAACCAATGATATGTCAATTGACATCATAAACGACATCTCATTGAATGAACGACTGTTGCGGACATTAGTAGATATTGTCTGCGAAAATGTTTTCATTAATGAGATAACGGTTACGGAAATTAATTTGAGTAATGCTTTGGTGGCTAAACATGTGGTCAAATATATTATGGACTTTCGTATTCAAGCACTTAATGCCAATTATCATCTAATTGTCAAAAGTCTACAACAAACTGATGAAGAGTTTAGAAGTTTTGCAGTGGAATGGGATGTCAGACATGATATGCCATTGAAATCATCGTATTTGGTTGTATTAAGAGATACACAAGACTTATGGCAATTAGATTTGGCGAAACATATCCGGCAATTGTATGCATCCATAGAATCCAATGGATTCCTATTAACTGTATTTCGATATAAGTTTACGGATCCGGAGATTGCATTGAATTCATTGAATAGTAAAACACATGTAAATGATTCACATCTGGAAAGTCGTATCGAAATGTTTTCAGCAAAATGTGTTGAAATGGGTTTTCGTATTATTAGCCAAAAATGTGATTCAATCGCAACAAAAGCTATACTTTTCCGAAAGATTGAAGGAATGCCTCGAATTCCTACTGAAAACCAAATCATTAATATTAGCGGCGATTATAAGCAATGGTTTGGAGTTTTACAGCAAAAACTAATCGCCGCTAAAGATGAGGACAATCCGACGGACAATATATGGCTAATCGCTTCCGACTCATCCCTTAATGGGATCATAGGTTTAGTCAATTGTCTCCGTTTTGAACCCGGAGGGGATAGACTGCGGTATATTTTCAATTGCGACGGCACTGGTAGTCAGACTAGCGTTGACTTTACTGTTCGTCCATTCAGCGATATATTGGCCAAGAATTTGATAGCGAATGTCATTAATGAGGGAAAAGTGGGAACTTTTAGACACTTAAGACTTGCGGACACTTACGACAAAACACTTTCCAATGAATATTATCTCAATTTGGGTCAAACCAGAGGTATATCAGGACTTGAATGGTATGACTCGAGAAGATTAAGTCCATTCAGAGACTATTACGACATAAATGGAAATAAAAGTCGAAAATTTAAAGTTAATATTTATAGCTCCGGGATATTAGTTCGTGATATTATGCTAGTTGAAGGTAATTATTAATATTATTAATTAATTAAAGGCAGTTAAGAATCTGTTATAATAATTTATGTCTATTGTAATTATGATGAAATATTTATTTTTTATGAATCTCTTGATTTAATATAATATATTTACTTATATACTGTTATGATATTAGTAATATTATTATACATTAAATAACTAATTATTAATTTGTAAAAAATATTTGCTTGATTACCTCAAAGGAATGGAGTAATGATTATGTGTTTGTATGTTATTTGAGGTCTTCGTCCAATTGACAGTTCACTGACTGACTGTCCCATTGGTTTGGAGTTCTCCGGCAGGAGAAGCGATACGGGAGAAAGGGTTATGGGAATGGATGCCAGGAATCGGTGTCTCTCGACGTCCATTTACGCCACGGAGCCCTATATGACTACCATTCCCGAGCACTGGTCTATGGACGACGCCGTCTCTATACTGAACGCATACATGACTTTGTATTACGGACTCATTGAAAGAGCACAATTGCAACAGGGTAATCATCTAATTTATATTTAATAACTCCATTTATGATAATATTGAACCTAGGTGAAAGTGTTTTGATTCATTCGGGAGCGGGTGGTGTGGGTCAGGCGGCTATCAATATTTGCCAACACTTCGGGTGCGATATATACGTTACGGTCGGCACCGAAGATAAGGTAACTTTCCTGAAGAATGAGTGCAATATTCCGGAGAACAGAATATTCCACTCAAGAGACATTCGCTTCAAGAATGAGATAATGAAGATGTCTGATGGCAAAGGTGTCGATATTGTCATCAACTCATTATCTGGTGAGGGATTGGACGCAACTTATGAATGCGTATGTGACAATGGTCGCATTGTAGAGATTGGTAAATCAGATATGTATGACAATAAGAGTCTCGGAATGTATTGCTTTACACGAAACGTCCAATTAATTGCTGTGGTATTGGATCTGTTACTCGTGAACGACATTCAGTTTATGTGCAGATTTTACAAATGGGTGCAGGGTAATTGTACAAATGGCTGCATTAAGCCTATCAAAGCAACTGTTTTCAAGCCTGAAGAGGTGGTTAAGGCTTTCCATAGTATGACAACCGGTGAACACATCGGAAGACTAATCATTAAATTCAGAGACGAAGAGACCGTCAGAACACCGCTTCTGGCGATGAATCGGACGATGAATATGAGGACAACTGTGAAGACATTCTTCGATCCAAACAAAGTTTATGTAATAACCGGAGGTTTGGGAGGCTTTGGACTCGAGCTCATCCAATGGATGCACTACAGAGGGGGTCGAAAATTTGTGGTCACTTCCAGGTCTGGCATTAGGACTGATTACCAGAAGTTTATAATCAATCGCTTGAAAGATGTTTATAAAAGTGATAAAAATCTTTCACTCGATGTGTTGGTCTCGACGGCCAATGGGATGACTATTGAAGGCACACAACAACTGCTAAATAAGGCCAAAGAGTTGGGACCCATTGGAGGGGTATTTCATTTGGCACTCGCTTTGTATAACGAGTTGTTTGAGAGACAATTGTTTGAAGACTTTTGCGCAACGGTTGACATCAAACACAAGATATTCGCGCATTTGGATCAACTGAGCCGACAGTTGGCCTACAAATTGGATTATTTTGTGGTCTTCTCGTCGGTGTCATGTGGTAAAGGAAATGGAGGTCAGAGTAACTATGGGTTTGGGAACTCTCTGTGCGAAAGGATTTGCGATGAGAGACGTAGGGATGGTCTGCACGGACTGGCCGTACAGTACGGACCCATTGGGGACGTAGGAGTGATCGGTGGTGTGGATCAGGGCTTAGGGTTCACATCAATGAGGAAACAAAGGATTCACTCGTGTTGTGATATTTTGGACAAATTGCTGGCAATGAATACACCGATTGTTACCTCTTATGTATGTTTTAGTAAATGATTGCATATTATAAACCAAAACACAATATGTTATTAAAATACCGGTATATATTTGCAGATTCGGGTCAATAAGCAAACAAAAGAGGGAACTCCTCAACAAAACTTTATTGAAAGTATTTGGCGCGACATGAATATCGACCCGAATGTCACCCCAAATGACACCACTTTGGCCGACATAGGGATGGAGTCTATGTTTGCGGTCGTATTGCAACAGAAGTTGGAAAAGGAGTACAAAATGAGTTTAACTGTAAATCTCATCAAATGTTTAACTGTTGGCGTATTAAAGGAGAGTGAAAATGCCAAAACTGACCTTGTTCAAAGTTACCTCAACTCCTTGAGACAGTCCACGGATTTCCTATTGAAATATAACTTTCATATCTCTAATGAGAAAACAATTGCATTAAACAAATGCCAAACCGGGAAACGATTGTATATTTTGCCGCCATTTGTGCTCAACTTCACGGCGTGGGAGGAGTGGGCCCTTCGGGCCAACCGACCGGTCATTGGACTCAATTGGACGCCTGATGTGAGTCGACTGCCCTCTCTTCAAGAGGTCACCAAATATTATGTCAATCTATTGAAACATTTGGAGCCAATGGATGGCAAATACGAAGTGATCGGCCATTTGGATGGCGCCGTCATTTGCACCCAATTAGTGGCCAAAGGGATGGCCGACATAGCGGTGGCTATCGATGTCATCAATGATAAGCATTTTTATGTCGACAATAAATTAAATGAGGATTTTATGTTAAAATTTGTGATTAAATCACTATTAAAACAAATCCCCGATTCATACGTCAATAAAATAATAAAAGGTTTGACAGAAATATCGGACATTAAGACAAAGATTGCGATTATTGGCAAAGAATTGGTTGGTTTGGGCGGAAGACGACTTGTGATCACAGATTTGACACACGTTTTGGAGATAATGTTTGCGAGAATTGAATGCCTTTTGGAGTATAGACTGAACGCAACGACAATGCATTCAAATGATATGAAAACTCAATTAGTAGTCATTAAACCCATTGAACACAATCCGACTGACGATTCGGAGGCTGAGCACCACCACCAGGATCAATTGGCTGATAATTATATCTTATCGACGATAATGGTATAGTTGATTATATCAATTACTGGCTATATCCTAGTACTAAGCTTTCTAAATTAAGCAGGGTAATATGAGTAATGATGCGAACCTACGAGTGGAGAGAATTATATGCGAGAATCCAATGGATGTGACGAATGAAGCGATTGCTGAGAAAATCACAGAATTACTGATCGATTGAATATAAGTTATATAAACATAAATTTAATTACATTTGATTTGATAGCAAAACATGCGGTACTTATAAACAATTTTTTAAATGTTTTGCTATCAAATCAAGTATAATTGAATTAAATTTAATTAATTGAAAGTGACTTAAATTGTGGTATTAATGAGAGAATTGGTTAAGTCTTATAATATGAATAAACGTAAAAGTAATGTTTGCAAATGATTTGAATGGGGGTCTGTTAATTATAACTAGGAATGAAAAAAGTGGGCATCCATTGAATGAGTGACCCTTCATATATGAGCTGGGGACAATCATAGTAACGTTAGATATTTTTATTAATACTTTAAAATCCAGTAATATTTTAACCTGATAAGTCATTGTACTACTCGTTTAGCTTAAACCTATGTATATTTTATGAATAATTGACTTGGATAAAATTAATAATTAGATATAATAAATATAAAAAGCTAACGTTACTATGATTGTCCCCAGCTCATATTATAAATTATTAGTAATTTTTAAAATAATAACTTTTGTCGGAATATTTATTAATGCATTGAAAATTAATTTTAATTTTATATACTCATACCTGATTCATTTAACTTGATAAGCTTTCTGTAAGGCATAACCATCTCTTAATAATAAACTTAAATATTTTATCTAAAAACTACAGTATGTGTCATATTATTTACTAAGCCTGTACTAATTTTGAATCGTTAATAATGAATATTTTATAAAATAAAATAAATTAAATTCACTTGATAAGATTTTTACAAACAAAAATTATTACTAATCGATTACTTGTAAACTATAAATACAATTTTTCTTTCATTCAGTACGTACACACAAATACATATTATATAAATACATATAAATACACATAATAAACCCAATAATTATTCATTCCTAATTATAACACATGATATTGGGTGTTCATATGTTAGATATTTCAGTACGTACAAATAAGTACGTACACATATTTCAGATATTCGGCCATTTTCGGATTCAGATTTGATCGAGATCGTTTATTTAAGGTTTCCAATCCGATTCGGGTCACATTAAGTCCCAATATAAACTTGCCCGGCTCTAATATGGATGCTATTACCGTGAACGTTCGTATGAACATAAACCCAAAACCAAAAGTGTATATATATTACAGTATAATGGCATAATAGTGTAGTACAGTAGTATTCTATCTAAACTATCGCGCTCATATTATACATGCCACAATTCTGCCCGGGGGATTCAAATTTGTTTACATATTTCAAAATGATTGACAAGTTTTAATTGATACAATTAGTTCCTTTCGATTTGTTACTATAAAAAATAAATATATTCTGACGGAAACTGTATAAATTAACATTTTATTACCACATACTGTATTCTTAAAAATTAGGCTTAATTAATTTTATGTGTCATGCTAGCTAAATGCATATTTTTAAAATGGTATTTAATTAAAATAAATTATACTGAATTATAAAATTCAAATAAATCAAGGTAATTATCATACTGTATTAATTTATAGGATGTAAATCGTACGATACATTTTATTTGAAATAAAAATAAACAATTCAGAGAATAAAAGTGTAGCTATTATTGCTGAAATTTACTTGGTAAAATACTTATAATATTAAAACTAAATTAATATGCGTAATTTTTCTAAGTATACACAAACTATAAATATTAATAATAGCTACACCTTTATTCTCTGAATTGTTTATTTTTATTTCAAATTAATTTTTATCATATGATTTACATTGTATAAATTAATACAATGTGATAATTACCTTGATTTATTAGAATTTATTATTCAGTATAATTTATTTTATTTAAATAGCCTTTTAAAAATATTTATGCATTTAATGTTAGCTAGTATGAAGCATAAAATTAATTAAGCCTAAATTTTAAAAAATAATCCCATAAAATTGTTTATAATTTAGCAATAATCCTTATATATTTAGAAACCTTATAACGTAATCTAAAATTTATACTTAATGAAAACGTTTCCCAGTGATTTTACAACACTTGTAAATTTAATAATAAACATGATTCCTATGAAATAATACTATGAATTATTATATTTGTTAACATGTGTTAATCTTAAATTTACAATTTAACAGAAGTTACTAGATATACAATAATTTTTTAAAAATTAGGAGACTTTAATGTATTTTTAAAATCCTTACATTTGGATTCACATTTGCAACTTCGACATTATGATGATAGTAAATACATACATTGCTAGTTGCCCGAATATATTCTAGATCATTTTTAATTAGTAGCTACTATTTTTGCCAACTTTTACTTAATTGTAATCTCATTTGCTCCTCATTCACATGAACTTAACCACATTGAACCTGACCCGTAGATTTGACCTTCGCGTTTGTTCCGAATTTCCATAGAGTTAACATGGGAAATATAATTTTGATTATGTATCAGAACTCTATTAAATAGATGTTTAAAATTCATTTTACCAACTTATTCTGTCATTTATAATTAAAGTTATTAAGAAACGCGAACGTTATTTTTTCGCTGAATGGCCTTACATTTTACAACAACTATAATAGTAATTGATTTATCAGTATCACAAATAATGAAATAACAATTTTTAATTTAATTCAATAATATTTAATTCATATGTAATAAAGGCAGGTTCATGGGGAATATTGCATTAATAAACTTATGCAGCATATGTTATTCTAGCATATACCATAATTAATAATTGTGAACCTCCCTAATTCATACATTCAATCGAATTTGGACAATATTGCGATGACCTTCTTAACACTGGCATTAACCGCGTGCAATGCATCGGTCAAATATGCCTGATCAGGGTGTCTAAAGATCTGCACCTCAGCCGCCAAACTGAGTTCATTACCGAAGTTATAGTACCAGCCTTTGATACAAGTGACGTACCCTTTCTCGGTCTCACTGACAATGGCTGCGCCCGAAGCGGTCATGACTTGTTTGTAAAGATCCGCCACCTTTGCCAAGTCCACAATGTCATGACCCTGGTCGGCGTTGGGTGCCTTATCGAAAATGCCTCTAATTTCTTGAGCCAGTTCATGGACAACTTGTTGCACCTCGCTCACACGCGCGTTAAAATCAGATGATGGATTCTGGTGATTCTTATCGGCCTCCACTGCCTTGGCTACGAAATCATCCAAAAATACTGGCAATACGTGCTTGCTCACATAATTATAGTTGTCAGGCTCGGCGATCACAGTGACCATGGCCGATCGAAGTATATCGCCAGCCTCGTCCCATTCCTTTTCATTGGGGCCCACGATATCGGGAACACCGTTTTCTTTTAGACAATCGCTAAAAGTATGCAGTAGTGAGCCGTGGGCGCCGGTACCCAACAATATTATCGCTGAAATAAAATAAGTTATTTGATTGGTCATGTTAATTACTAACAGTTTGAAATTTTGACAAGGTACAGTAGTTCAAACAATTGTTAAACAATTGAATTAATAGATTTGTATTAAAGTCATACGATATTGTGTCCTGATATTTATACATTTAGCTATTATAATGTGATTGAATTAAATAAGTTAAACATTAATAGTTAAAAATAATAATTCTTTCTAAGTAATAATAGTTAGTGTACGTATACTTAGAAAATGTATGCACTTAATTTAGTTTTAATAAATATTTTACCAAGTAAATTTCAGCACTAATAGCTATTATTCTCTGAATTGTTTATTTTTATTACAATTAATTTTTATCGTACGATTTACATCATATAAATTAATACAGTATGACAATTACCTTGATTTATTGGAATTTTATAATTCAGTATAATTTATTTTTAAAATATTTATGCATTTAGGTAGTATATGACACATAAAATGTATAAAGCCTAATTTTTTAAAAATAATTCTAGAAAATTGTTTTTAAATTAGCAATAATTTTTGTATATTTAGAAACCTTATAACGTAATCTCAAATTTATATTTAATGACAACGTTTACAAGTATTTTGACAACACTTGTCATTTTAATAATAAACATTATTCCTGTTAACTAGTAATACTATGAATTATTATATTTGTTAACATGTGTTAATCTTAAATTTACAATTCAACATAACTTAATACATATACAATAATTAAACAAGACATATACACGATTATTAATAAATTATAATTTATTACTGTGTATAATAGTTATATCCAGGCCATTGTTGATTCAAATTAATAGAAGCAAGGTAGAATAATGTAATCCTTAAGAATTTTTTGTTTCAATATTTATTAATTATCAGTAAAAAAAGGAGTTACCGGTATAAATAACATTATGATAATTGCCAAACGTTTTCGGTCTACACGGAGACAATCATCAGGGCTTAAGATGTTAAGAGAGATCATTCATGTGATTGTCATTTAAGTGGTGTTTGAATTATAATGTATACCTTAATTGTGTTCTTAATTATAATGATTATACTGTATTATCATTGAATATATAATTTCTATGCAATAAATCAGTCAAATTGTACTCAATTTTTAACTCACCCTGCGCAACAGTGCCCAGGTATTCATATCAAATACAGTGAATAATAAGTAGAAATATAAATCTGAATATTATATAAAATATCGTATATTATACACGTATAAAACCATGTCGAAATGAAATACATATATTTTAACATAATTATAAATAAATACAGTGTTACTAAATTCAAATTACTTTTTATTTAAATCGCTATATATTTTCTCAACAGTATTTGAATACCTGGGCACTCTATCTCAGGATGACTTCAAGGATGAGTAGGTTTTGTCTGCAATAAATGGACATTTTGAAGCCGTCACCTTGCCATTTTTCTATTACATTAAACCTATACCTTATTTAATAATTTTAAATCAGAGAGAGAGAGAGAGAGAGAGCGAGTGTGTGTGTGTGAGTGAGAGAGTATATAATTGAGAGTAATTATAAGATGTATATAATTATATGTATTGTTTTGTTATTATTTTAATACTTGTATTTGTTTTTCAGACGTTCGCACAGAATATCAACACTTAGTTGAGTGCACGACGTCTTTAAATAACAATAAAATTCAAATTCAATATT